CCTAGATTTTGTCAGACTTACTACCGCGAACAGAACCCCCCGAAGTTTCTAAACGTCTTCCTGATTTGCGACGTAACCACGAATAGAGCCTGTGGTCCACTTCTACTGAACTAAAGGTAAAAAAGTTGCTGTGAATGAAACAAACCACAACTCCAGGTTTGTTTTTGAGGAGGTAACAACATTATAACATGACTTAAAGCCTCGATGAGCTTCGTTTGACTGGAGCTGAACTCTGCGGGTGACGTCAGACTCGCTTAATCCACTTCTTTACAGAGTCTATAGCGGGTGTATTCAAAATGTGCGCTCAGCTTCAGTTTCTTCATGCGCTGTGAGGAGTTGTCGTCGTGATATTTGAACGTGGCTCTCATGTTGTGAAGCTCAGTCCTGTGGCTCACGGCTTGAATTTATCTTAATCCTCTCCACAACAGACAGTGCAGAGGAGCTACGTGACCGGACTTCCTCAGTGCGGAGCTCAAGTTGTTGTCATTTTAAACTCACTGAACTCTCCTCCTCCTCCTTCTCCCTCTCTCTTTCCCTTTCTTTCCCTTTCTTTCCCGTCTCCCTCTCTCTGCTTCTCACTTTGACCCCCGCTCTCTTTTGCTCTTTCTCTCTCTCTCCCCTCCTCCTTCATTTCCTCCCTCTTCTCTCTCTTTCGTGCTCTTTCCTCCTCCTTCATTCCTTCTCTCTCTCCTCTCTCTCCCGCCTTCTCTCTTTGCCCCATTATCTTTCACTCTCCCTTCCTCCTTCTTTCCCTTTCTCTCTTCTCCCTCCTCCTACCCCACTCTCTCTCTCCACCTCTCCATCTCCCCCCATCTCTCTCCTTCTCTCTTTGCCCCTCCTCTCTTTCACTCTCTTTCCCCTCCTAATTCATTCCCTCTCTCCATTCTCTCTCCCTCCCTCTCTCCTTCTCTCTTTGCCCCCCTCTCTTTGTGCTCTTTCTCTCTTCCCTAATCCTTTATTCCCTCTTTTCCTCTCCCTCTCTCCCCTCGTCCTTCATTCCCTCTCTCCCTCCCCTCTCTCTCTCCTTCCCTCTTTGCCCGTCTCTTTCACTCTCTCTCCTATCCCCCTCTCTCTCCCTCCTTCCTTCTCTCTTTAGCTCTCTCTCTCTCTCCCCTTTTCCTTCATTCCCTCTTTCTCTCCTCTCTCTCGTACCCCCGTCTCTATCCCTCTCTCCACTTCTCCATCTCCCCTTCTCTCTCTCCTGCTTTTTGCCCCCATCTCTTTCACTCTCTCTCCCCTCCTCCCTCATTCCCTCTCTCCCTCCTACCCTCTCTCGCTGTATCTCTGTCTCCTCCTCCTTCACTCCCTCTTTATCTCCCCTCTCTCTCCTTCTATCTTCTCTCTCCTTCTATCTTCACCCCCCCTCTCTTTTGCTCTCTCTCTCCCCTTGTCCTTCATTTCCTCTCTTTCTCTCTCTCCTTTCCTGTATCCATCTTTCCTTTTATTAAATCTCAGCCTCTCTCTCCTCTGCCTGTCCATCACTCCCGGGTTAGTCCCTGCTCCTGCGTCACTCCTCACCTCCTCCTCCTCCTCCTCCTCCTCTTCCTCTTTTCCTCGTTCTGCTGAATCACGCTCTCATTGGGACGTCCTGCACTGCGCCGGCGTCACCGTGGAAACCGGGAGGGCGATGTCACCTTGGCCACGGGGCTGGAGTTTGTCTCTGCAAAGTCCTACACTTTTATTTAAATCGTGGATGTTTCTGGCACAGACTGGTTTGCATTTGGCTCGAGCAAGAACCGCCATTATTTAGCTCACTTTAGAGAATCGCAACAAGTAAAAAATAGAAGTAAAGAAGTAAAAAAAATACTTGAGTACTATATCTGAGTAATGTTGGTTTTACCCCAGTACAGATGTATAGGAAAAGCAGCTCTTACTGTCAATTGAGACTACTTTGTGCTTTCTGCATGTGATTATATTATATTACTGTATTTTTGGGCTATAAGTCACACTTTTTTCATGGTTTGGGTGTTTCCTGCGACTTATACTCCGGTGCGACTTATCTATTAACATTTTCACACTGGCTCTAGTCTTGTGTGTCAGTATCTGCTGCTCCTGTTCCTCTTGTACCACTGTCACTTCACTCTACTGCGCATGTCTCCTGCAGAAAGAGCCTCTGTCCTGTCTGTATCATGTCAGTCCATCGCACCATTACTTCTGTACCAATTTAAACAAACTTATTAAGACGACTGAGAAGACTGAACACAAATGCCCCCAAGAAGAAAGTCATATTTTGCAGATTACAAGCTGCAAGAAGCAAAATCTGCAGCTGAATACAGTAATCGAGCAGTAGAAAGAAAGTTTGTAGTGAGCGAGAAACTTGTGACACTGGAGAGTGCGCCATGCAACTTTCAGATCGAACTTTGGATGGATGGACAAAGCCTGGACTTCAGTAACAACCGAAAACATCTTGTCGGGATTCAAAAAGACTGGAATAATTCTAACTGGAACTGATGCTGAATCTGACGACAGCTACACAGAAGAGGCCCTCAGTTAAAAATGTTCATATCTGACATTAACAGTCTGTTCTTCTCTGTTCTGTTGCTTTTACTATAACTTGCCTTTCAAGATGAAATGTTGGTTCCTGATCTCTGATTTTAAAAAATAAATTTCCCCTAAAAACTGCATCTTATAGTCCGGTGCAACTGAGATATGTTTTATTCTTCTTCATTACACTTTTTTTGGCTGGTGTGACTTATACTGCTGAGCGAATTGTAATCCAAAAAATACTGTATATTTTTTTATCAGCTACAAACCAAGAAGTAACACTGGTGCACTGTTAGCTTGCTAGTGAATAATTTGGTGCTAGGAAAGTGCACTATCATTGCCTATTGTCTCATAGTATGACATTAAACTTTTCTAACTCCAAGTGGAAAAGCAGGTGATTCATCTGGACAAAGTTACATGTCAGATCAGTGGAGAGGTGACCCAACTAACAACAAAAAAATATATATCTTGAATGAATAAATGCAAATTAGATACGTTTAATAGCATACTGTGGAACACTGAAGACAGAGCAATAACATCTCCAGACAATCTATAAAAGTCAACTGTTCTGTTTGCTATTGTCACCAAACATACAGTAACAGAATAACCCACTGTACATCACAATCTTCAGTTCAGTATTAAAGGGCAGCAGGTGTACTCATACAACAGCAAACAGTGTCCCCTTGTGGTGGGTCTTGGCCATTTCTACTAAACTAAAACTAAAAGGTAGCTGCTTCATGACATCACAAGGTGGGACCGAGCATTTTGAGCTTTGGAGAGTGGACAGACAATACTCAGGGATTACTCAAACATGTGTGAATGAAACAAAACAAAACTCCAGGTCTTGTTTTTAAGGAGGTAACAACTTCATAACATGGGTAATAGTGTTGTAGTACAGTACTCGAGACCGGTCTCCATTTTTTGCCCGTCTTGGTCTCGTCTCAGACTCGACCGTGTTTGGAATCGGTCTCGTCTCAGTTCTGAATGCACTAGGACTCGGTCTTGTCTCGGACTCGAGGTCTGACACTCAACAAGTGATAAAATGGAGATAGACTTGTAAAAACATTGACATATATGAGCCAAAAATTGCTGTAAAATACAAATAAATGTCTAGAATTACAAAGATCGTCTCGGTCTTGCCTCGATCTCTGGCTTTAAAAGTCTTGGTCTTGTCTTGGTCTCGCCCTTTAAAAGTCTCGGTCTTGCCTCGATCTCTGGCTTTAAAAGTCTTGGTCTTGTCTTGGTCTTGCCCTTTAAAAGTCTTGGTCTTGTCTCAATCTCTGGTTTTAAAAGTCTTGGTCTTGTCTTGGTCTTGACTTGGTCTCACCCTTTAAAAGTCTTGGTCTTGTCTTGGTCTTGTCTTGGTCTTGTCTTGGTCTTGTCTTGGTCTTGTCTTGGTCTCACCCTTTAAAAGTCTTGGTCTTCTCTCGATCTCTGGTTTTGAAAGTCTTGGCCTTGTCTTGGTCTCGCCCTTTAAAAGTCTTCGTCTTGTCTCGATCTCTGGCTTTAAAAGTCTTCGTCTTGTCTCGATCTCTGGCTTTAAAAGTCTTGGTCTTGTCTTATATCGACCCTAATAGGTCTTGGTCTTGGTCCTGGTCTTGGGACCCTGTGGTCTCTTACAGGTCTTGGTCTCAATTAGTCCAGTCTTGACTACAGCACTAATGGCTAAAAGCTCACAAGAATCAATTTTGCGTAATATTGGACCTTTAAACAACCAACTGCAACACAACACAACACTATATTTTCGTCACCCACATCTTTAGCTTAAAACTATTCCTAAGACGTCCAACACTGACAGAACCAGCAAGAACTAAACAGAACAAAAGTCTGTTGGCAAAAAAATATGTACACATTACTATATAAACATCCATTTTTCACCAATCACAAACAACATCATTTCAATTCTAGTTACATCAATGTAAGATTAAAGGTGCACTGTGTAACTTTTCTAGTGGAGGCTCTAATAGCTATAATTGTCTTTACAGAGATGTTTTTGCCTTACTTAAAATCTTTAACAGTGTGGCAATAAATGTCTAGCTTCACAGAAACAAGGAGATACCACCAGGCCAAGTTAGAGGTCAGATCTGTGGAGAGGCTACCCCGCACACAGTTTTTCACAGGTATTATTTTAGCGATAAAACACCTTGTCTTTGAATAAATGTTATTAGATGAGAGAAATATTCCACACACACACAAAAGTATATATACTATGTCAGTGAAGACTTCTCAGATAGCAGACGCCCACAAAAAAGTGACACAGTGCACCTTAAGAACCACATTTAAACCAATTTTTTTGCAGAATCGCCTTAGATTCACTCAAATCTGGAATTATCTCACACTATCTCAAAATATTATTATTATTATCACTTGCTACACAACTTAAAATCACAGCCTCAAACACAAAAGTCAGCACATTATACCACAGATGTAGCTGTTTATGATCCAATATGTAACCAAAAAAGAAAAATGCAGTACTCAAAAGCGCAGAGAGGGGGCAGTAGTGAGCGCACACAGACCTGGAAGTGGAGGATGATGGTCCAGATGAGGCCCAGGGTGAGTTTGGGGTTTCCGTCGGTGATGTCATCGTTCCTGATGTTCACAAGTTTGACCTGAAATCCCAAAATCAGAGTTATTTTTAGAGTAAAATAAATGATATCACTTTTATTGTGTTAAAGCTGCATTGTGTAACTTTTCTGGTACTTTTTCTCGATGGATATGTTAGTGCTTTGTCTGGAATGTTTCGCAGTATGGCATTAAACCTTTCTATCTTCGTGGAGACCAAACCAGACCAAGTTACAGGTCAGATCTCTGCAGAGTTGGGACCAATCGTTGTTTTGCAAGTCTCAAGTAAGTCTCAAGTCTTTGACCTCAAGTCCAAGTCAAGTCCCAAATCAAATACAGGCAAGTCCAAGTCAAGCCTTAAGTCACTGGCCCATAAGTCCAACTCAAGTCCAAGTCATCTGCTTTGAGCTTCAAGTCATTTCAAGTCTTTAAACCAAATGTACCAAAGTATAGCTTAGATTTTTGCAATTTATATGAATTTTAAACAAAACTGTACATTAAAAGTCATGGTATATGTATATATGAGTAGTTATATAAAAGTTGTAGAAACACCTTTTTTTTCCCTTTTTAAATGTCTTGACAAGATCTTAGTGTGAATCATTACAGTCAGAACAGAAAGAATTCAGATTCAAAAGTGCTAAATAACAATCTTTTTTGCCATGTACAGTCGTCTGAACTGAAACAGGAGGATCATGTTCTATGTAGTTCCCTCTGTTTTACTGTATTCTACTGTATATTACTGTAGTACATTTGAGGATACTACATCACAGTACTTCAGTTACATCCAAAGCAACAAACAGAGAAGTGGGAGGGACATGTTCCAGTTTGTTTCTGTAAAATTAATCACCACATTTATCAACTTTAAAGAGAAAAGTATTTTCTAAAAACATATATATACATTTTTTTAGCAGAAGCATCAAGTCTTCACAAGTCACAGGCCTCAAGTCCGAGTCAAGCCCCGAGTCACTGACCTTCAAGTCGAGTCCCGAGTCTTAGTCCATTTTATCAAGTCAAGTCTCCGGTCCTAAAAATAGTGTCTCAAGTCTAGATCTGTGGAGAGGCGACCCCCGCTCACAGTCAGAATGTCTTTGTTTTCTAGGTATTTTTGAGTTATAAAGCCACCTGTAATTGAATAAACGTAAGATAGAACTGTTTAATGTCACACTGTGGAACATTCTAGGCAGAGCAACGACATATCCTTAAAAACAAGCAGCTGATGGACCCCGAACCAGAACGTTACATAGCCCACCTTTAAGTAGAGTTATACTATTCCCTATTATAATTCTCTGCAGTAGACATATATTTGTATTGTGCCTAATTGGCCTGTCTTCTCCGTATAGAAAAGGTTAAGATAAAGAGTTTGAGGCTCTGGGGACCTTGTTAAACGTGGTGTGGTAGAACAGAGCTGACCGTTCTGTGTAATGAGAAAACAGACCGAAGAAAAGGTCAGTTCTTTAAACAGTTCTGTCTACAAACCTGTCTCTGCTTCAGGAAGTCCAACGCAATCTGAACATTCTGTAGTCTGTGAAACCTCATCCGGCCTTTTTCTCTCGGCTGGAAAAAAAAAACAAAAACAAAGAAAAACGGTGAGATGAAGAGGTGCTTTTGATTGTTTTGAGTGAATTGTATCAGTGTGTGTTGTCCTCCAGGGGGCACTGTCTTCATCTCAGCAAACCAAACTGTGGAGTCTCAAACCATGCTTGTTAGAACAGCAGCACATCAAACCATTTCTTCTTCAAGGTTTTTTAAAGAGATCAAAAACACAGAAACATCATAAGAGACTGTTTTGGTTAGTTAATGGTGCAACCCGACAACATGCTGTGGGAGGAAGAATTTTGTATTTATTTGAAAGTACTTTTCATTCAGTTGTTGTGGGATAAAGTCACGGAAGAACATGTAGATTATGGTCAGGCAGGTCAATAAGAAAACTGTGAATGTGCATGTGAATGTTATCAAATCTGATGTGTTTTTGCCTTGTTTGCTTCTTTACCTTATTCAAAATTTAAAGAAAAAAAAAGATGAAACCTGTTTCTAACGCTAGCAGGGGTGAACATTCCTAAAGGCTTAAAACTAATAGAAAAAATATAAACAAACATCTCATGTGAAGATGATTTAAAACAAAATGTTCTTTCTTGATTGTTGTGTGGACGACCTTTAGGCAATGACTGCAACTGTGTGCTCTCGATATTAAAGAATTACATAAGATCTTCAAGAAATAAAGGGGATAAAGTTATCATAACCCAGCTGAGTACAAAACCTGTTCAGTCTTTACTTCACTCTACTTTTTCACTTCACTTTAATTCACTTTACTATTTCACTTTACTTTATGATTTTACTTTCCTATTTCACTTCACTTTACTTGTTTACTTTAGTTTACTTTACTTCTTCACTTTACTTTATTTCCTCACTTCACTTTATTTCACTTTACTTCACTCTACTTTATTTAAATTTACTTCACTTTACTTCTTAACTTCACTTTATTTCACTTCACTTCACTGTACTTCACTTTATTTCAATTTATTTCACTTTACTTCACTTCACTTCACTTCACTTTATTTCAATTTACTTCACTTTATTTCACTTTACTTCACTTCACTTAACTTCTTAACTTCACTTTACTTCACTTTAATTAAATCTATTTCACTTCACTTCTTCACTTTATTTTACTTTACTTTACACTCCTGGATCATGTGTGGTGTGTTGTGATCTTGGTTTTGTATCATGGTCCCTCTGTTCTCCATGATTCATTACTTGGATAAAAGGGGTGAAATCCCAAGGACACATTTCCATATGAGACATTAAAGTGTATAAGTTAACCTTTCCGATATTAGAGCGTTTCATTAATCTATGACAACAAGAATCCAATGTGAAATGAACAATTTTCCAATTTTAGATGCACACAGTGACGACACAGCACTCCCATGCAGTGTCCAAACAACACAAAATGAGTTTAAAGGTCAAAGGTGAAAGGTGAAAGTTGTTGTTATTGGGAGAGCGCTGTGCTGTAAACATACTCCCTCCGATCCTTCCTCCTCGTCTTCCTCCTCTGTCCCGAGCAGGATCAGAGGAGGGGCCAGGAACACTGAGGCTCGTCTGGACACGGGGCCCGTCTTCTGCTGCCACAGTCACAGGACGGGAACAACATAAACCAAATGTACAAGGTATAATGTAAATAAATAAAATACGACATTATGTTATATTATTTTACCTTGATTTGAACAGGTTTTATTATTTTTGTCTTTTTTTTTTACATTAAAGACAAGATAAGAGACAAGAGATAATGCAAAAAAAAAAAAAAAAAAATAAATAAATAAAATATAATATATATATATATATATATATATATATATATATATATATATATATATTACATTATATTATTTGGCCTTGATTTGGACAGTTTTTATTATTTTATATAGTTATATATAAATATATATATATATATATTTTTTTTTTTACATTAAACCAAATGTACAAGAGATCATGTTAAATAAAAATACTGTATTATTTTACTTTGGTTTGAACAGTTTTTTTTTTTTTTTTATATATAATCATTTTTTATTTCTTTTTGTGCAAATTAATTTATGTTGAGGCAAAATTATTGATACTTTGCAGCTGATGTCATCAACGTTCACAGAGGGTATGATGCTAACTGTAGGCACTGCTCTGTCTGAGGCTTTGTTAGACTTTAATCTCATCTGAGTTTGCTATGCTTTTTTTACTTGAAAATCAAACTCCTAAACAGAACCATGACGGCCTGTATTGATCATTGTCTCCTGAAAATGTGCTGTTTTCAGACTATCTTAAAACATATTTGGCAGTGTTTGCTAATGTGCATTGTGTCATCATGGTAACTGTGAAACATTCCGCCACAGACATACATTCAGAACACCGCTGGCATAAAGTCACTGCAAAGTATCAATACTACTTTTTTAGAAACCACAAGTAGCTGTTTGAATTCTGGAATTATGTCAGTCCTGGTCAGAAATTCCTCAAAAAATAACAAAGTAGTAAGCATAATTGACTAAAACCTGTTCAAACCAAGATAATATTCTGAATTTAAACCATTCAGCCACATGCTTGTATTATTTTTGCATTATTTTAAGAGATACAGGAGCGTGGATGTCTGCGGTAACAGAGGTCGCAGAGCCCGGGGACAGTCCAGAGTCAGCAGTCTGTCCCCGTCTGTGGGTGGAGCGTGTCCTTTATCCTTAACATCAAAACGACTAAGTGTCCACATCAGCAAAATGTCAAAGGTAAAGTCTCTGCCTAGTGTAGGACTCAAAAAAAAAAGTTTAATTTAGCCTCAAAACGTGTACATTTACATCATTAAACATACTGTAATTACCAAGATGATGACAAATTAGTACAGTTGCCATAGTAATAAGACTTAAAATCTAAATATCATGTAATTTGAATGGTTAAAAGTCCTCAAAATGGCGCCTATAAACAACAAGCTGAAAACCAAGAGTGAACCAAATAACACAGTAAATAAAATCGATACTATTTTCACATTTTACATTATAACACATTAGTCGATGATGGTGGATCCACAAAAAATGCATATAAATTCGTTAAGTTATTAATCGCTATGGCAACAGTCGTAATTATCTATCACGTGTAGAGAAAATTATGTCCAGTACCATTTTTTACCAGCAGCTGTACCTTCAAATCAACATGAAATTACTACAAACGCACTGCAAATTTCTCTGATCTGGCCAAGATTTTAAAACTTATATCAGGTTATTCATCTTGTTTTCAGATTTATTATTTACTGAGAACACCAGAGACTGCTTAATTCTAGTCTAGAGGTAGTTTATTTTAAGATAAGTTGTCAAGTAAAGTTATCTTGCTGCGTGGATGGATAATTTCACAACTTTTTCTGATAGATTTAAGTGTTTATATCTTAAATTTTGGCTTCTTTTTCGTGTTTCGTGAGACATTTTACATACCAGCGTGACTCCAGAGAGGACTTCTAATAATGAGATGAGGTTGTGTCCGTCCCTCAGGTCCTCGTACAGGTCGGTGATGTGCTTCCTCACCTGGGACACCGCCGGCCAATCAGACGAGAGCAAGGAGAGAGGAGGAAATGCCATAAAAGGACAAAGAGAAAAACAACAACAACACAAGTTAGTAAAAAACAAAGCCTAAGAAATCTGTGATATAGAAAGAATAAGAAATCAGAAGCCAATTTAGATGTCGACAAACAAATATAAATGTTGAAATGCATTGAGCTCTTATATAAATTTTGCAAATCTCAAATAAATTAACTTAATCCTTCAAAATATTTCGCAAATCTTGTCCCAATCAGATAAAAACAATTTTTTTTTTCTCCACAATTTGTTTAAGTCTAATTTGTGTTGACATGTGCTCCCATTAAACTGCTGACTGAACTGGTGTCAGGCGTTTCCATGACGACCGAGCAGGAAGTACCAGCTGTGTTCTGACTCTGTTGCCATGACGCTGCCATGGCGACAGGGCGACGAGGTTACCAGGCAGACTGAGCAAGAACTGATACTGAACAAAAAAGAATAAAAACTAAAACTACATGAAACTAAACTAATATTTTGAGTTGAAACTTGTGTTATGTTGAAATCGGACTATTTATTTTTATTTTCTATTTTCTTATTACTGTGGTTTTGAGATTGGTGTCAAGTAATGAGCCTTTTCCTCTGTATAGAAATTTACTTTTATTTTAATATTGTGGCAACACTGGCTATTCTATTCTATTTTATTTTATTCAATTCATTTTATTTTCAATTCCATTTTATTTTATTTTATTCTATTCTATTTTATTTTTTTATAATTTATTTTAATATTTATTTATTTATGTATTTATTATATTTATTAATAAGACAGTGACAGTGCACAATTTACATTAACCTTAACAGGAGAGATGCATTGTACCAGGTTCACGTTCACATGCACACCAAAGTCAAACTATTATCTAATTTATGGACATTAAAGATTATTTAAATGATAAATAAACCACAAAATCTGATGTGAAAAAGAACAGAATTTGTTAATTTTGCTGTTTACATTGTTTCTGTCATTTTAATAATCTCGTAATTTAAACATAATCTGATTGAGTGTTTTATCTTCATTTTCGAGTGCCTTGTTCTATTTTCTTTTTTGTGGTCTATTGGGGGAAATTCCAGTGTTGCAGTATGAAGCTTTAGGTCCTATGTTATGCCAAAATTGACTCTTGTGAGCTTTTAGTCATATTATAATGTTGTTACCTCATCAAAAACAGACCTGGAGCTGTGTTTTGTTTCATTCACACACGTTTAACACACAAATCCTGCATGTTTAGGCTGAGCTCAATTCCACTTTGTGATGTCATGTGGTAATACAGAAGTGCTCCACTGTGTTTCATGAGAATCATTTGAATCATTTCAGCCTTGGAATTTACTCAACAAAAGGTAAAACGAGCTGTTAACTTGAAAACTACCACTACATGACATCACAAGGTAGAAGAGAGCATCTTGAGCTTTTGAGATGTAAACAGACTAATAATAAAAAGTTACTCAAATGTGTGAATGAAACAAAACACAACTCCAGGTGTGTTTTTGAGGAGGAAACCACATAATAACATGACTAAAAGCCCACAAGAGTCAATTTTACGTAATATAAAACCTTTAAAGTTCAAGCTGCAACACCGGAATTTCCCCAATGTGGCACAAATAAACATTCTCTTATCTTATCCTGTAAATGTAGCCCCTGATTTTAATATAACACAACAATTATATTCAACAGTGAGCACTGTTGGGCAAGTTACTTTAAAACTGTAATGTGTTACTTATGACTTATTACTGTCATTTCAAAGTAATTCGTTACATTACAATATTACTGTATTTCAAATGTAAAACATTACACGACTATTGTAGCACTTTTATTTTAAGTTACTCTCACCAAAATAACTGCGAAGAAGTTGAACCTTTGTGCCGTATATGGACTGAACTAGGACTAAACCAGGACTAAACCAGGACTGAACTAGGACTAAACCAGGACTAAACCAAAACTGAACCAGAGCTGAACTTGGACTGAATCAGGACTAAACCAGGACTGAAAAAAGACTGAACCAAGATTGAACCAGGTCTAAACCAGGTCTAAACCAGGACTACACCAGGATTGAACCAAGATTGAACCAGGTCTAAACCAGGACTAAATCAGACTAAACCAGGACTAAACCAGGATTGAACCAAGATTGAACCAGGTCTAAACCAGGTCTAAACCAGGACTACACCAGGATTGAACCAAGATTGAACCAGGTCTAAACCAGGACTAAACCCAGACTAAACCAGGACTGAACCAGGACTAAACCAAAACTGAACCAGATCTGAACCCAGACTAAACCAGGACTAAACCAGGATTGAACCAGGTCTAACTCAGAACTGAACCAGGACTAAACCAGGTCTAAACAGCGTGGAGTTCTGTGCCGGTCCTTTCTGTGATTTTAGCGAATTTGTATGAAGAAAAACAAAAAACCCACCACTTCAATCCAGTTAAAAAAAGCAATGAAACGCGGGTTACTCACATTTGTACTGAGTAAAATATTTTTTAAAAATTTCCCTGTAATCCCTTACATTACTGTGTTACAGCAAAAAGCAACGCATTATAGTAATTTATTACTTTTATAACACTGACGGTGAGTGACTGAAACTGTAAATGCACAATATCTGTTCTCATAATTCAAATCTCAACTCTTACTTCCTCTGTAGAAATCAAAACACAACTCATTTTCTAACACTGAAATGACTTGTGGTTGTAAACACAAACTTTTAATGACTGTGCAGATGTCACAGACTGTCCCCGCTCTTGGCACAAACACAAAAAGTACCTGCATTGAGGCTCCTGTCCAGTCTGCACCTGCTCCGTTCTCTACTTTCTACTGCAGTCCTGGACCTGGGACAAACACGCACTGCTCTGATCCACCAGCAGAGGGCAGGACCGCCACAACAACTCACTCTGTCCTTCACCATAAATCACCAACTCTGATTATTCAATAAAACGACATTATGTAAACACGCTAACTAGATTAAGTGCAGAGGGTTATCACGGGTTTACACAGCCTCTCTGCCTTTATTGTGAAGTGTGTAAAACATTCGAGCTGACAGTGGAGTTGATTGATGAGTTACAAGATTATAACAGGATTATAACCGGGATTTAAATCTTAGTGAGATGATAAAAGGCGGTTTTATTGGAGCTGTTTGGGACAGTTTCAATTTTAAACGCAGCTTAAAGGTTTTATATTATACAAAATTGACTCTTGAGAGCTTTTAGTTGTGTTATAATGTTGTTTCCTCCTCAAAAACGGACCCGGAATTGTGTTTTGTTTCATTCACATGTTTGAGAATATTTTATTATTATTATTAGTCTACATTTCCAAAGCTCAAAACGCTCTGTTCCACTGTGTGATGTCATGAAGCGATAGTTTTAAAGTCATATTTTAGCTTTTGTTCAGTAGAGATTTGAAATTTCAGAGCTGAAATTATCCAAATGGAGTTAAGGCTGTGCAATTAATCAAATTTTGATCGCAATTTCGATTTGTGCGTCAAACAATCTCCAAACTCATATAGTCGAGTTGAAATGATAAAGCATAACAAAGGGATTTTTATATAAATAAGTACTTTTATTTTATTTTTTAAACACAGAGATTGTGGAACAGCTGGATATATAGTTTATTATTCTAGATACATTGATCTTTTTCTATGCCTTATTTCATGTTCAAAGTATATTTTATTCATTTTATGTTTTATACATCACAAAACAGCTCAAAGGTTCATATTTGTAGCCTGAATTTATTTTCAGTTTGAAAGTTTTGCATAAATTATCAATAACAAAGTGATTTCTTTAGAGAAATGCTGAATAAATGCATCGTGTAAGTAAAAAACATTCATTTGAATAATCGTGGTTTCAATATTTACCAAAATAATCGTTATAATGGTTTTGTCCCTAATCGAGCAGCTCTACATAGGGTTTAAAAACACAGTGGAGCACTTCCTGTATGACATGACAACACAAGGTGGAACAGAGTGTTTTCTGTTTGAGAGAAGAACTCTAAACATGCACCTAAGGACTTGTGTGTTAAACATGTAAAAAACACAACTCTGAGTATGTTTGTGATGTTTATGATCAGGGGTGTACACAAATATTGAAATATCGATATATCGTATCGTTTAATTTGATGATACAGTATCAGTATCGTGGGTTGCTATATTGATATATCGTCAAGAGTATTTTTAGGTATATTTTACTAAATTACAATTATTACAACTGTGTAAATTATAGTATAATATTTTAATGTTTTTTTTTTCCATATTAACTTTTTACAGAATTTAGTGGATTTAGTTTCACAGCCATGATTTAACCTTTGTTTTTCACTGAACTATATCAAATCAATTTTAAAATTATCATATCGAACTGTATAGAATCAAAAGTGCACCGTATCGAAAAGCGTATCGTATCGTGGCGTGTGCATCAAAGTATGTATCGTATCGACAAATTCTTAATGATGCCCAGCCCTATCTGTGATGAGAAAACAGCATTATAACAGATATGAAAATAGAGTAATATGGGCACACATTATGCTCTTTCTCTTCTAAATCTCTGTTCCACCTTGTGATGTCATGAAGCAGTAGTTTAAGTTAACCGTTACCTTTAGTTCAGTAGAGACTTGAAATTTAAGAGCTGAAATTATCTAAATATGTAGAACTTGTGTCTTAAATATGTCAAAACACAAAAAACATTAAAACACAGATCAGCACATTGACTCTGAGTCCATATTACTGTCACTCTGGTCTTTCTATTAAATGTAACGGTGCCAGTTGTCTGTGGCCCTCAGCTGCCTCGGTGAGTGACAGGTGTAAATGCGTTCACAAAGACTCGCTGTATTCAACACTGACCAGAAACACGCACAAATATATCAGTGTATGAGACCAGAGCGTCGCATCAGCTCAAGTCAATGCACATGACTAAACACTGTTAGTTACTGGAAGCATTTTGTCACAGGAACGAAAATATGAAAGCTCTGTTATTATTA